GCATGACAGAGAGATTACAAAAATTTTAATGTTTGAATGGGCCGGGCATGGTCTAGTGGTTAGCGTGGCAGGCTGCGGAATAGAAAGTCCAAGGTTCGACACAGCAGTATGCCAGTCAACAAGCTCCGCACTTCAGCTATGGGTGCGTTAAAAGAGTAGCCATCATAAAAGTGACAGTAAATCCTACTATTCTCTTAAAAGTTCCTGTGTAGGCAAAGGGTGCTATTGAGTGTTGCTCTACCTCTAGGTAGGGATGGTTATGCCTAAATATTGGCCACTTAGCAGCCCCTGTGACACATAAAGTGCCAGTCGTTCGAGTTGAAAATACCAAATATAAAACTATTCTAACTGAACAATAATCACGCTTTGTTTTTAAAGGTTTGATATCTTGCATCTATTTCCTAATACATATATTCCACAAAGGATTCCACAAATACATACCTCTTATCAGTTCAATTTCAGTTTCGTCCTAGGTTTTTTTACTGCTTGTTTGACCGTCAACTATAAAAGTTACTTGAAAGCAATAATTACAATGGGTACTTCTTGAAACTTCTATGTAATACATATATGATTATTTTGTGGAATGTTAAGGTTACAAGGAGCTTCGTTAAAATAACTTAGTTTTGTTGCAAGAAATGTATTTTGAAAAACTTCATTTTCTAACCTCTTTAAATTAAAGAAGCAATCGAGTTTTTGTATATTCAAATCTAGAAATTAGATGTACTTCCGCAGGATCCCCGAAAGTGTTCTGTTTCGAGAATAAATAAAACCAAAATTAAGAATAACAAATATTTTTATTTCTTGCTTTTGAAGTTCATATGTCATGCTGTGTTGTAGCCTACAGAGTGCATAATTCTTCTTGTGATTCATTACATGCGCACGTTTTACCGACGTCCCGATAGTATGAACTGCAACGTTAAGTGTTCCTTATGTGACGTCATTTTAATGTTTACTGACTGACTAACAGACAGCTAACTACTGTATAGTGGTGCGAGTGGTTAAAACAGGTAACCCCTCCAGGCTGCCTTTGGGGAAATTAATACATATATTGAAATGTTTTATGTAGACGTTTTTGCTAGTAAAAGAAAGAAAAACTAATGCGAACCACCCCCGATAAAATAATGCTATTTCTGTTGTATTTATTTTTATAATAAACAAGTATAAAGAGCTAGGATATTCGTGGTACGATTTGAGTTTGATTATTCTCAGCAAACAAAAACTATATATTTAGTGTCAGTGGGGTGGAGCACTGCAAACAAAAAATCGTGCTGTTTAGTAATTGATTCTTGTCGGAAAGAATTACAGAAGTAGAGTAAATGTGCATGCACTGACGACCTTCAAAAATAGCGGTTTCTTATTTTCAAACTACATTTTGAGCTGTTAAATGAGCGACAAACATCGTTATTTTAACAAAAAATTTTTAATTTGAAAAAAATTAAGTGCAAATTGTTACAAGCTTATTAATAGTTTTTAGAAGATCACACACACACACACACACACACACATACATACGTACGTACATAAATACATGCATATATAAGGAGGAGTCACGTAACTTGCACGTTCTTCATGAGAATAAAAGCACATTACTATATCTGGCCACTAAAGTCACGTGCCATAAGCAAGTTGTCGTGAATATTTGTGTCAAAGAACGTGTATGTGGCCATGAGTTTCACTATGGGCACCCTCATTTTTCTGTACCATAAACAATGAAAAGTGATAAGTGAAATAGTATGTTTTAAATTTTGATTTTCATCGCATTAAAGATATATATATATATATAGTGCAACTACTTAAATTAAAAATATATCTATGAGGTTCTTTTTAGATTTCAACTTCGTGTTATCCCTGTATGTAATTTCAAAACGCTCCCCGGTGGCCCAGTGGTAAGTCTGAAGGGTTATAACTCCTGCAATCAGACTGCAATACCCTCGGTTGGCAAAACACAGATAGTCCAATTTGTAGTTTTGTGCTTAAAACAATAATAAAAAAAGAAGTTTCAAAACGACAAAAAAGAGTGAAATTGTTAAAACTTCTGAAGTTAGGCTTAGGTAACGATCTGTAAAAACCAGCTCAGAAACTGGTAACTTTAGACTAAATATCTTCAGAGACCATTGTATTATTGTCTAAATCAGCGTTTCCCAACTATTTTCGGCCACTGAACACTTTTCAGCTGAGAAAAAGCTTACGGAACATTAGTCACGTGAAATATCGGTGTAGAGGGTATGTTGCGCGCGCAGCGCCCTCTTGATTTGTATATTATTAATTTATTTATTTAATCAAATTACATATTAATGAATTTTTACATTTTTATGCTTATAATATATTTGAGGTACAAACTTCTCCACTAAGATATTATGTAGAATAGATATGGAATCTTCTATCATTTTAATACATAGGAAAATATTTC